TTATCATGCCCTTTATCATCATTCCACCAATCAGTCCTCTTTTCTCCTGCACCCACCCTCCTGTAGCTACAAACTTCTGCCCCACATTCTAATAATGCATTTTTAAAACTATTCCAACCCTCTTTAACCCCCCCCTATCCCCACCCCCCAGTTCTCATACTTGCACTAGCCCACCTTTCTGCCAATAGTTACTTATATCTCACCCTAACTTCCTCCTCCCTTAGTTTACATGGTATATAGAGAAAAATTTTTTTTTGGATTTTACCTACTAATTGGCATTATTCCATATTATTCTGTGTGGCAACACACTGTAAGTCTTGCAATAAAAGCTTTACTTATGCATATCTAACTTGTGTGAAATTTCAGGTATCTGACAATCATGTGATTAAGTACATACCACCAGAAGAGTTAATTGAGCATAGAGTTAAAAAGAGGAAGAGAGAATTTGGTGCCCTGATTATTGGATCAGATTCAGCTGATCCTAGAATGGTAAGTTTTCACATTAGTTTCTGCTCACCTTGCCTACATCTTCCTGTTTTCATCTTAACTTTATCTTAATTGCAATTATTATTGGATTTGTTTTTTCTCAGCCTTGCTCATTCACAGAAATAATCATAGCTAACAGTGCACTGCATTCAAATTAGTTATTCTTTTACGCACTCATTACTTTTTAAGTGTTGCCTGAGTTAGCTGATCTTTCTGTGAACTAATTAATTGATGGGCATAAGTGGTATAAAATACTGTCAAGTTGCAAAACGGACACATAAGCAGTTTGGACACAATATTAAGAATATTTCATTGGCAGACCAAGCTTTTTAAAGTGTATAGTGTGTACATATATAGGAAACTTGGGAATATGTAAGTAATGTGTGCAGCTTGATCTACAAGTAAATTGTCGTCTTAATTATGTGTTTAATCTACCTATGCATCTTTGTTTAGCATCTTGGCTTTTTTTTTTTATTTATTTATTTGAACTTCTCACATCTTCCTCAATCCAATTCTGCTACTTTGGTCTTCTCTTCTTGTATCTGGGCTGGACCTACTTTCTGGAGTGTGCCAAAATCATCACTTCACTGATCAGTGATACCTTGCACAAAGCCAGGAAACTAGGGAACAGTCTCTGTAGCATTGACAGGAACTACTGAACACATTCACAATGTAGTCTCCAATACAAATGTTGATAAAAGATTTATACTGAACTGTGTGCTCTCAACCCTGCACTCCAGTAGCATTTGTAAGGAAAGTGATAGATTAGAGAGTGACTTCATTCTAAACCTATGCACAATCACACAGCTCCAGGAAAGTTTTCAGCAATCTGGATTCCACTTGTTCTCATGGACAACCTTTAACACTACAAAGAAATTAGCAGACTCCAGAACAGGAATACAGTTTACAACAATCATTGTTTTTACCATTGACAATATTCATCTGAGGATTATCCATAAACTTATTGCTCTATACTCAGTCATTGAAAGGACATAGGCAGATCAGAGGCCATTAACCCTTTCAGGGTCCAGAGGCTGAATTTCAAAGTGTGCATCAGGGCCCAAGAATTTTCAAAAAATAATTTTTATTTTTTCTTACGAAATGGTAGATAATCTTTTTCTGAAGGTAATAAAACAAAAAGTACGAAATTTGGTGGGAAATTGACGAAATTATGCTCTCGCGAATTTTGATGTGTCGGTGATATTTACGCACCAACGATCTTGCCGACTTTGACTCCCATTTTAGGCCAATTACATTATTCCAGTCGACCAAATTCTTAGCTATTTCACTAGTATTACTTCTACTCTATCGATTGAGAACAAGAAATCGCCAAGTCAACTGTTTCAACTACAAAATAAAGTGATCGGAAATTGGTAATTTGGCCAATTTAATGCAAAGTTCAAAATATTCCAATTTCAAAATAGGGTCCAGAATAAACAATGCAGGCATTCCTGGCACTAAACTAACATTTCCTCTGTTCATTATTTACGTTTTCAGGCTTTACAAATGAATTCCATTTTTGATTTTTAATTCACATAATGAATTTTTATTCAAACCAAAAAATAGATTTACTGTTATGCAATATTGTAATACAGTAATTGTATAAATAATGTCACCACATTTGTGAACATATATTAGACCCACCAGCTGGCGTGTATTAGACGTGTGAGGTCATTTGTTTACCCTTGAACATCGGCAAAAATTTAACATTTCCGCTACCTTGAGCTCAGTTTCAGCCATTTTCAGTAATAAACCCAATCAAAATCATTTCTATTTCTGTAATATATCTTCCATTCTATCAAATGAGACCAAGAAATCGCAAATACAACTATAAAAACATATGAAAAACACTGCAAAGTCGCTGTTTTAATCGAAAATTACTGTCTCTTTTATTTCTCTCATTATGCATCGTGTGCTGCAGGATTTGTTTTATGTGGTGCACACATACCACATGGATGTATCCTCTCATATCTAGGCCCAAATTTACCGCTCACAGCTTATCAGAGTGAGCTGAGC